TGGTCTTAATAAGAAATTGGAGCATATATTATACATGATTTTCTAATATAAACTTACCGTAAGAAAATGTAACTTAAAGTTAAAGCATTAATGAACTCTAATAGGTTATTTTTATTATTTATAAAAAATTTGAGTAGAAGAACCTATTTCATAATTGTGTAACTTATGAATAATCAGTGGAATTAATATACCAGAAAAGCTATGATTTAGCACTCTAGCTAAAAGAGTTTTAGTCTTTTTTCATAATATTCTGATAACTTTTCATTAAAATATCTGCTATTTTATTAGTTTAGCACAGTATATTATTCAATAATCACTTTTTTTCAATAAAACTATTAATATAATATATAATATACCTTTTTTAATATTAGCCCATAAATAGTCTGGATTGATTACAAGAGCCTTAATGTAATAAATAATAGCTTGTATATATTTTGATAATGATTGTAAACAGGCTCCTATCTAAATTAAAATATAGTAAACTTTTTCTGGCTAAAGATGTATCATGATTTGGATTAATATTCAAGATTTGGTCTAAAATCTTGAGAGCTTCGTTATAATTACCCAACATTCTTAATGAATCGCCTATAATTAAAAAGGTAAATTACTTTTTGTAGATAATGAATTGACATGATTTGAATTTATGGACAAAGTTATATTCGCCCATTTAATGGCATCTCTGTAATAATCAAGCATTTTTAAAGAATCAGCTAAATACATTTATGCATGATTTGTATACCTTTTATAAATAATGAATCGACATGTTAGGATTAATGAGTACTACAGCATCCATTAATGAAAGTGCTTCTTAATATTTATTATCATCATAATATATCATTGATTTGAATCAATGATTTAGATTAATTTGTATCCTAAATTAATCATTTATTACTTTTTTTATATAATTCTTCTACTTTTTCTTGTTCTTATTGTAATAGTTTAAGACAATTTTAATATCATGCAATAAACAATTATATGACATGTTTTGATAATATCAAATAGATGAAGTATATCATCTTAATAACAATAATTAAAATGTAGATCATCATTTCTTTATGAATTGAAAACAATTTATTAAATTTTGACAATATAAGTTGTCTATATATATAATCAACTCAAAATTGAAATAATCAAAATAATTTAAAAAAGAGAAAATACCTAACTCTTTCAAATCAGCTCTAATAAATATATGAATCTAAAATTTCTCTCAGTCACTATACATTCTTCCAAATTAGTGAAAAATAAAATTCATTCCTTGAATTTACAGGAATCTAAATTAGGCAGAACCGAAAAATGGTTAAATTTAGATTTACTTTTTCATAACCTACCATTTACCTACTAACTAATTAATAAGGTAGAACGATTGAATATTATAAAGGATTAATTATAATTCTTTGAATATTTGAGAGAAAAACTAAAGACTATTATTGATAAGAAAAGAAGAGCAATTATATATAAACATCAAAACGCACTTAATATTTTCATACGTATAGATATTAATTTATTTCAAAATTGACACTTATATAATTTTTATCAGTTTATCGAACCTTCCTCAGTTTATGGATAAATATATCATACTAACAGACGAATGTAATGGAAAAGCTTGTTTTATGTAAATATATTCATGTCGAAAGTTTGATAATACTGATCCAACAAATTATTGTGGTAAAATCATTCCTATGTATTGAGAAAATCAAAACAAAGCCCAGAAAAGTAAAATTGAAAAACACAATATTAAGGAAGCTACTTTTAATATATTGTTATGGAAAAACATGATGAAGATTTAGAAATTGAATTTTATAAACAAATGAAAATGATGAATGTTCTACTGAAGAACAAATTTTAAACTTTATACAATAAATAATACCAGGTTACCATTTGTATTTAATT